CACCGACGATGACACCAGATTGGTTTTGTTACCACTGGCAGATCTTCGCGATTCGGCTCGGAAGCGAGATATCCGCGACGTGCAGGTTCGGAGGCGCTCGGAAGCGCACAATCGCTCGATGATGTAGGAAACACGTGAGATCCATCAGCCCAACCAGACACACAGATACCGAGCTTCTTGCACCGTCTGTCTCCAAGGCCACCGCTGAGTAAAAGCCAACAATTTGCGAAAATATGCAGGACAACTTTCCGCAGCAGGTTTTCTTTCTTTTTTTCTTCTTTTGAGATCCCCTCCCCCTATTTTTTTTCTTTTTCGTTCACAGAATGCTGTTCTCGCTTGTTGTACTTATGCTGCGCCCAGTTCCAGTGAAGATGCGTTGACTCGAGGTCAGTCCTGAGGCACGGCGATAAAAAAAAAGATCTGTAGTCTTCGCGTGCCTTCATGATTCACTGAGAGCGTCACAATGGGGGCATGGGGCAAAATCCACCGAAGCAGCTGCACCTTGCAGTCACGTGGTAATAAACTCTGAAACGCAGGTGAAATTTCACGTGATAGAAAACTCTTTACGTGGTAAAACTGGATTTTGACATCCTTTTACTACTTGCCTGAGAGGTGGTGGTAAAACTATGTCATGTACCACCTTTTACTCCTACACGAGGTAGTCATTTTAAACGCGAGAGAGTTTTCAGAGGTCATGAGCCGCAAAAACCCCAAACTCGGATAGTTTTTACTTACAGTGTACGCCCGAAACAAGGCGCTGTGCACGTAACGCAACGCTTACTACGTTACGTTCTCGCGAGACCTCGAGAAAACTAGAGCGAGAGTATATGGTGGCAGCAGTGGCGTTCGACGCAGGCAGCAACAGCGGACCTGGTGCAAGGCATGCGTATTTCACATTGAAAGGCAATGTTTTCATGCCAGACAAGGTAAATTCAAGCGGTGCGTTCCGGCATGTTGGTGATTCAGTAGACATTAGAGAGTTTTAGTACTGCGGAATGGTGCTACGTACGCATCACGCAAGCGTCTTGCGTTACCTGGCGTCGTTTGCCACTAATCGGCTTTTAGTACGCCGTAATATTCGCGTACGTAACGAACGTGAAGCGTGTTGCGTCATCTGGTAGGTCAAAATAGAAGTACGTGTTGTTGACAGCCAATGTGAGCCAATCCAAGTATTATAGCCAGATTATGGGCATATTTTAAGCCACAGAGCCGGTCGGTGCTTGCCTTCGATGCCGCCATTTTGCAAAAAGAAGTCTCGCGCTGTCGCGAACTTGTTCGAGAGCGGCGCGATCACCTCATACGTACGCACGCACGCGTATCATGCGTGCGTACGTAGCGGCTGCGTACGTAACGCGATACGTGCGCGTTGCGGTCTGGACATGCGCACTACGCAGAACGTGGCGTCCTTACGTGCGCAACGCTGCCACGTACGCAGCGTACGCAATAATAAAACTCTCTATTGCCGGGCGTCTAATGAAAATCCCCAAGAATCGCGTTCGATAGTATATGTGCGGTAATGCGTCTTTTTCCCCAGGCCTCTCGGAGAATGAATCTGCGGATAAAACGGCACATTAGTATGTACTTTTAACCATGGTGCAACATAACACGCCCTGGACTTTGTGTGGACTTTCACTCCCTAAATGTGCCGTTAGTACATCGTAAAGTCCTGAATACCTGGATCGCGACTACTTGCTGCGGGCTGAGCTAAGCCTTATCCACAGCAGTACTGAATAAAACACTGGGGTCGATCCAGTGCAGGCCATGCCCAATCAGACGCCGCTTTTACATAGCACACCCAAGTTCAAAACAGCAAAGGTGAACATGCGAATTGAGTGCCCTAGGAACAATGCTAAAAAATGGCAGTGGCTTAGCTCAGCTATGCCAGGATATACGTAGCGTTAGCAACGGTTCAGCAGCTTATTCTTAGCTTTCCAGATATCCTGCTTACAGCTGTTCCAATGACACACACACGGTATAGGTATTATGTGGCACATGTATATTTATTTTGCGGGGCCACTACTTCGGGATCCGATGAGTTAAGCTTCTCCGCTCTACTGCATTATTGGGCAGCATTTGCACTGACCTTCTCCATGGCTATACTAAAGTGGCAAACGCCAGTCAGAGGCGCTATCAAGCGGCTCCAAAACAGTGTCAGATGGCGACTGCAGAGGGAAGGCGCGCGCGTCGGCGTTCATTTGTCTACCAAGGCTATGACGGCACTCCTCTCGAAAGCGCACACCAGCAGTGGCGAGTCGCGTGCGGCCGCAGCCGAGTGCGAGGGACGTGCGGGCTCCGGTGCGTGACACCACTGATCGTCAGCGCAGCGCATCGAATTGCGCGCACACCGGCGGCGAGCCACACGCGGCGGCAGCGGAATATCATTGCGCATGCACAGACCATTATTGCCACGCGAAATTGGCTCAGCGAGGCCAGTGTAGCTAACGCTACAATGTCAACTCAGCGAACGCCATGGCCTGACTTGTACGAAGGTGAGCTTTGTTCTGGCTGTCAGGATGTGTTTCGTGCAGATCATAGATGCCGCGTTATAACTGGGACCATGGTAGTGGGACCTGTAGCATGCTTCTAACGTCTCTGGCGCTGATAATAATTACAAACTTTTGCATCTCGCATATAGCATCTATCTGAGTGAAACGCATCAAGGTACGTTAAACTAAAAGTGTTGTCGTGCGCTTAACTTTTCACGTACGCAGCGTAATTTTCAAAGCGTACGTAGCTTCCACATACGCCCAACTAAAAGTGTCTATTACTCACGACAGTACGTAAGGTAATGCATGAACTGCGCGCTCTGTTGGGTTTTTCCTTCGCCACTGGTTAGCCCGTGTGCTCTATTTTCTTGTGAGCAGTCCAGTGTTCAGGAGTGAAACTAGGTTCGTTGTGAACAGTGTTGTTGTGTTCACGTTTCCAGGACTGGAGAAGAGGCTGTGCTCGTGTGAAAGAAAATTAAAAGACAGCATTGATGAGTGTATTTCCGTGCGAAGTATTCCCGCGCGAAGTTGCAGTGGTAGGGATTGGCATTTCTGTTCATTAACTCGTCATATCTCCTTTTTGTGATAACTATAGTCTGAGCGCCGTGATACGTTGAACTGAAGTCGCGAGATGATATATTCTGTTGGGGATCATGTTGCTTTTGGCCGCATGTCTAGACTGTTCTTCGGTGAACACTTATGAGTTCTACCTGACTGCGAGGGCCCGTGAAGGTCAAGCTTTCCTCTGGACCTCAGAAACAGCAAAGATTTTACCGGTGCCTTGCTTCCGATAAAGTTGTAAACCAGTACCGGCTCAATACCGGCTTTCGAGTTCGTCTTCCCTTCGTTCTGCACGGTACTAGAACCTTGACTACAGTGACCCATGGACAGTTCTTACACTTTGCCCGTGAGCGCGCACGCCTGGCTAGCCTTTTTCCACTTCATTGGGAGCTTCCAGTCCACAACCGTTCTTTGCCAGTTGGCCCCAGAGCACACTTGATCACTGATGACACTGACGGCTGATAATCGGTCGGTCATTGGGGAGTGAAACTTGCAGAACTAAGTTTTTTGCTGTTGGTGTATTATAACATGTGCAAGTTTTTCAGCACAGCTTATGTAATCTTTCCCCGTGTTAAGTTCAAGTATAAAAAACGTACTACTACCATTACACAAACACATATAATATAGAGGGAGGGGGGCGTTAAATGCATCACCAGTTTTTGTGATTTGATATAAGTGATCTCTTCCCTAATTATTCAATTGAGCCTGTCGATTTACCACGTTTGATAGTTGCAAATGGCAGTGTGAATTTATTTTCCACGAGCCAGGTAGCACTTGACAAATTCATGTTTTTTGACAAGCTTGTTCTGTAAAGGATAGCCGCTCTGGTAGCCTTATAGTTCTCTAGGACATATTTATAGTGGTGTGTAATACCAACACGGGGCTTCAGTGTGTTTTAAAGTGAATTTACCATAATGTATCACTTTTACAATGTAATAGCTCTGATTTATAGCCAAAACGTATTAGAAATGACTGCTTTATAATCGTTCTTTAGGTATATTGTTTTTGGCCACTTCAAAAATTTCAGAATTCGGTAAGGTCCTGGGATTCATGGGTTGCATGCACTGACAAAGCAAGCCTCCTCATGACTTGCAGCACCTGTACAGAAATATGCAATGTGCAAGTCTCTTTCATTTTATGAATGTGCAAGTCTTTTTCAGTTTCATCATCCAGCGAACCTCGAATTGGCCTGGAAGCGCGCATTGCAGCCTGTCATCAGCCTATGATCTGCCTGGTAGCATCGAGGGCAGAAAAGTGCCTAATGCTTGGTTGCTAAGTTGGATTTTTAAATATGTATGAATAAATAAACGCCACCTAATGTGTACACATTGAAAACCCAAACATGGTTGCTAACAGTGGATGCTTGTAATATTCTCAAACAAGGCTAATTGGACATTAGGTTGAAGCAAACTACGTGATAATTGAGAATGTTGAAAGTAAAGATCCTGTAGCTTATGAATTTAACTCCATTCGTATGCGCGTCCAAAGCTAGTACTTTTGAATGAGCACAAATATTTTGATCCCTTATTCAGCTCTTCAGCTTCTGACTCATTCGTTCGATCAAGCGCACTGGAAGAAAATAGCAACTCGGCGAAAATGGCATGGCTGTTCACAACTAGCATGGAGAAAGACCTATAGTGCAAGCCTCAGACCACGCAGCGCCAGTAAACCCACATTGTACCTGGCGTAGCTTTTTCTCTCTCAACGCTGTGGTATGTAATATTTCAGCTGTAGATACTTTGCCACAATTTCTTAGTGATAGCTTTTTCTACAAAGTGTATATGGAATAAAACGCTCTTGTTGATCTATAAAGGTTTCTCTCAGCGTGCCTCAAAGCCATGACTCCTCATCCCCCTGTCTGTGGCCAGCATAGGTAAACAGCAGTGCGACAAAGCCAGTACCCATGCAAGCCAAGTCATGGAGCGCTGCTTTGGTTTTCTGTGCAGGATACAGCATATACGCACGGCATAACACTTACATCAATAATAATGGTGAGTGTTGGCGGCAGCAGTACGAGCTCATTAAAATAAAGTAGCAGATTGTAAGTGTGTTTGCTTCGTACTATTATTTCCTAGAACTAAGTATAATTTTGAAAGGTTTACATCGTTAGAAAAAAATAGAACACTCATAATCCATAATCCGAAAAAGTGATTCGTAACTTGTAGACTGCCCGTTTGCTCCTCTACACTGTATAATGAGCTGGCTATGTAAAACGAATAAAGTTATGAATATCAGCTCTTGTCTTGCAACGCAGTGTAATTTGTGTGGCCTAGTGGACTCAACCGTGGGCTGCTTTTCACACCTAGTGAAAAATCGAAGTAGAACTTAGTTTTTTTTTTTTTTTGCTTATGCATGGCAGGAGTTTCTCGCTTTCAAAATGAAGATCGAAGGTTGTCCACATCTATCCTAGAATATATTCTCAGTCTTCATTTTTCGTGTGTTGATACTTCCTTTATTTTTTATTATTTTTTCATACCTGTCATTAGCTTCTAAAAATGCGACAGCTGTAATTATGAGCGCATGTGTATTTAATGTCCTCATGCGCAAAGTGCACGTCAGCAGAAATAGTACATTCTGATGGCAGGAGCAGTTTCAATTTTACAGTGACATTGTGTGCAGCTGCAGTTTAACCAGGCCCCGGAAACTCAGTGCTAGTGTCGGTTTCAAGGAACATGCATGCTCATAGCGGTTGCCGGGCATCTTAAGATCTGGTTCATTGGAGTGAGGTTGATGTGAATGCTCGTATTTATTGACTTTCACAAGTTTTTACAAATAAAAAAATTGATACCATTGTAAATAACTTCTTTTTTGTTTATATGTCTTTTTATTCTTTATTTTGTGAACTTTAAACAAGTCGATGCGCTGAAAGTGATTGACTCTACCCCTTCTCGACATTCGCTCAGCGATATTAAAAGTTGGATTGCACTCAGATATCTCGCTCCTTGGGCGTGTCAACTACGATAAAAATGAGGACAGCAAGTTGTCATGGGCAGAGAACGAAAGCTGCAGTGAGCTACACCAGAAGAGTGAACCATGCATTCGTCGAAGATGGCTTAATAGGGCAACACTTATTTCGCGTGGCAATGCGGTGTCCTAACCCAGAGATTTCTAGTTCCGCGAAGGTTTTTGAGCGTTTTTTAAAAGTAACCAATGAGTACAAGAATTTGAACCCATTATTTCGGCAGGTATTGATTTTGCACGAGCACGTACGAATAAACCAATTTCTCTGCAAGCCTGACTGAACTGACAGAAGTGCAGTGTCGCTTCACTAATTTGTGAAGACGGCAGCCAAGCTCCTGTCGGAAAATGCGTTTATGGAAGTGCTTGAATTCGAGTTGGCTTGGGTACATAGTTTTTGTTTCTTTTACTTCTGACGTGTAGTTCAAACCATGTCAAGGAATTATAGGTTGCTTCCTTCTCTATAAATTCTTGTGGCAGTGGTTTGAAAATTTGTCTCTTCTAATAATGCCACTCAAGTGCACGTGATAAACTAAATGCTTCTAAAAATTATTACAGAAGATGTCGATGGAGCCAAAATTTCGACAAGTGATCTTCATCAAGGCCACGCTTTTGCCCCAATGAAGACAAGTCAACAAACCGGCACACTGTTTTCAGCGACGTTCTTTCTCGAAAAACTTCTGGTTGCTTCTGACTCCGTGCCTCTGAACTTCAGTCTTGTTTGGTACACAACTGCTGTAAGACACTATGCCCATCGTCATAATAAACGCGAATTAATCAAATACAACGTGTCCTGTTCGCATTTGTTGATCATTTTCGCATTGGTTTGGATATACTGGGTTAAACATTTGCTTAAGATGTCCGTATATCAATAGCAAGGTAAAGCTGATTTTATAGATTGACACTTTCACATTACGTGTATGTCTGTTTTTTGTACAAAACGTGCATTTTATTTTGGTTTTTAACATTTTATTCAACAAACATTTTATTTGTTCCTATCTAGTCTCGTCTCACTGAGAAGTCAGTTATCACAACTTTTCCTCTTCAGAAAACACGCACAATGTAAAAGAAAAAAATATTGAAAATATTTTACGAATTTCCGCATCACCCGAGCAGCCAGCGGACCGCAAGAAGGCACTAGCGCATTCCGCTTGCATGCGAAGTGGGAATGGAGGGCTTTTGCAGCAACTCACCTCTTCTTGATTTTTCGTCCTTTCCCTCTATTTCTGGGTGTCACCAGCGACGTTATGAAAGACATATTCTGTTCGTAATTTATTTCAAATGCTAATTACTTTAGAAACCAATTGCTGGTATAAAAAATAATAAAAAATAAAGGAAGTATCAACACAAACAAACCTTGAAAATAAATTTTACGATACAAGTGCACAACTACAATGTTAATTTTGAAAGCGTGAAACTCTTGCCTGGCAGCCGCCAGTGGTAAAATGGGCGCTGCCGCTGCCTTGAGAATGGGAGAAAGAGGGAGTTTCCGCCCCTTGGTTTAACGTCTTAGCGGTGCGTCATTCAGCCGTTTTGTTGCGGTGGTACATTCCGCATAAGTAAATTTTGCATAGAATATACCAAACCATGACATTAATTTAAATCACGCTGTAGTAGTAGTGGGCAAATCAATTAGAGGTACTTGTAGTTTTTAACATGCACGTTAATCAAAATGTCTGCGTGTATCTGCATTTCTCTGCATAAAAAAGCAGCATCCATAGTCTACAATGGTAATCGTGTTAGCGTTCTGTGTAGTACAAGAAGTGAAGCCATTGTTTCGATAATTTTGTTCTTAGCCGACATAAACGTTCAGGTTATACACATTGCTATAGCAATAATGATTTCATCTGTTTGCAAGCTCTGGTAAGTGTTGTTTTGTGAATTATTTGGGTGTAACAAGATTGTCAAGACTTCTAGCATATGCAACATTAGGTTTTTTTACTACTTGTGTTATGTTATCGCACTGCTTGTCCATGCTTCAACAGCCGACTTCTTTGTTTATATTGTGTGAGTCTAACTTTTTAAAGTACTGTGTTCTAAGAATAGTTTCACGAAAATGTAGTTATGTACTCTGGAAATGGCCTATTATCTATACAGCTTTTTTCATATTACTACTGAAATCATTCATTTTAATTTACATGTAGCTATACACTGCATTTACTTACCTTTTTTCTGACATGTGTACCATGGTTTAGGCATACAAGTGTAACTGGTATCTTCTGTTATTGAAGCTGGCGACATAAAATGAATTTGAAAGTGGGAGGAAGAATGTGCTTATTACCAATATCACTATACTTAGATAAGCTGTGAGAACTCCACGGAAATAATCATTGTTTTGAATGGTGCGAAAAAACACACGGGACACAGATGAAAAAAAAAACAACACAGACACGGGCGCCGGACAAGCAACTAATTTTTATTAACGTCGACTCACACATATATAAAAACACGTGGTTCAATAAAACACGTGAAACAGCACGAAAGGCTTGTCCACAAGAGATCTCCTAATTGAATGGGAATTTATGGCAAACTTTTCGTGCTGTTTCACAAGCTTTTTTTGGAACACGTGCTTGTATGTATGTGTGAGTTGACGTGAATAAAAATTAGTTGCTTGTCCGGCGCCCGTCTGTGTGGTTTTTCTTCATCTGTGTCCCGTGGGCTTTTTTAGCACCATTCATAACTATGAACCAACACCAACTCGCAAAACTGTAAGTGCTTTCTTTAATGGAAATGAATTAACATTTTTAGACTGTGCAAAGATAAATGTTCTTAAGTTCTTTTATTGTGGCCCCTGTTTTATGCCCATGAAACATAATTACTTTGTAGTGGCCTAATATAAGTTGTAATGTTACATTTATGTGCTGAGGAACATTGCAGTGGAGAACAGTGACATCATATACATGCAGAGCACTGGAGCATCACCTCACATACATAGTATACAGTCCTTGCCCAGTAGTGAAATGAATTCTTTTCAAAAGGACTAACATACAGCTGTGAGGAAACTGTGCTGATGCGCAAATCTTGAAGCCTTTTTGAGGAATGTTTTCGAGAAGTGCCATGAGGTCTACAACTTTCAGTAGAAGCATTGTTCGGACCGAGGATCTTAGTAGCTTAAGAATCTAATATTTGTGTATTGCCTACAATATCTGTGCGCTGTGACGAGTTTTCAGCCCACGTGTCCTAATATAACGTGTGTTGTGAATAAGCCGAGCTATGTAAATAATCGGAGCAATATTGCAGACATTCACTAAATTGTGATGCATGGCACTTTTGGATAGCATGACATTGTCAGGGCCTTTCTTCTTATGTTTCGTATAAAAACTGCTTGTCACTGGGCAACAGGAGAAACCACGCAATAAGCTGTTTCAAGATGGTTCGAGAAATGTCGAGTTCAGACATAACAGTGTGGGTGGATTTCTTTCGTGACTTTCAATTAATAAAGATCATATATTGAAAAAGTGAGTGTTCTAAAATTGTTGTTTTACAGAAGTTAATCTTGCTATTTACAGCTCAATGTATGTATGTATGTATGTATGTATGTATGTATGTATGTATGTATGTATGTATGTATGTATGTATGTATGTATGTATGTATGGATGTATGTATGTATATATGTATGTATGTATGTATGTATGTATGTATGTATGTATGTATGTATGTATGTATGTATGTATGTATGGATGTATGTATGTATGTGTATTTTGAATGAAAAGCCGTTTTTTCTTCATTACAGTAACTTTTATAAAAATTTTGCTGATTTTTTTTCTAGTTCTCTTTTTTCTGTGCCATTAGAGTTTTCAGTTTATTTTGTACTGCATAACAGTATTTGTAATCTTACACAAAATGTGTGCTTTCGAAGAAGTTTTTTTCATTTGCAAACGTGCAGTTATGAGCAAATATTGGGGAAAGTGGAACCAACCAGCCAAGGGTTGTATAGAACACAGCCGCTCTTATAGCATTGCCTCTACACATTGCTTTTGTCGAATATGTCGACTTCAATTAAGCAATCTCAATCAGAACAAAGAAGATATCACCCGTGGCTCAGATTGTACATATGTGCATGATATTTTTGCATATTGCAATACCAGTTGGCAATTACTATTAAGTGCACCAACCTAGTCAAGCTGAATAAACAGTTTTTTGTCCATGCCCCTGTCATCAATATTGGAACTGTGGTTGATGAAAACTTAACTTCGGTTAGGAAATTTCGCGTAGTAACCAAAAGAAGAGCGCTTTTCTATTACACAAATCAATTTTTCATCATACTGTTCCACTTGGGATGATCGGCAACCCTCTGCGTAAAGATCGTAAGCCTGCTGTAGTAATTATAACCATTGACAGCGGCATTGCATGAAAGCGCGCAACGTGACAGATACCGAGGAATAAGACACAAAGTCACCCCTCCGTTTGTATCTTTTCTCTCTGTTCCTGCCGTTTCGCCTTGCTATGTGTGATGAATCCTACCAAACAACAAAGAAAACGTGTCTCGACTCTCGTCAAAGGCAATAATCTTGGTCTCAAACAGTTAGCTCGCTCCATGTCTAGATTTTCTTCAACACACCGTGATGTCTGAACACCGGTCGAATATTCAGACGCGCCCCGCCGTGGTGGTCTAGTGGCTAAAGTACTCGGCTGCTGACCCGCAGGTTGTGAGTTCGAATCCCGGCTGCGGCGGCTGCATTTCTGATGGAGACGCAAATGTTGTAGGCCCGTGTGCTCTGATTTGGGTGCACGTTAAAGAACCCCTGGTGTTCAAACTTTCCGGAGCCCTCCACTACGGCGTGTCTCATAATCATATGGTGGTTTTGGGACGTTAAACCCCACATATCTATCGAATATTCAGACGCGTGAAATGTAATATACCAGGTATGATAATGATGTTTCGGCACAGGGTACTCTTGCGATAACAGAGGTTGCAGTGGAAAATTTTAAACTCTGAATGTTGTAAGGCATGACGGAGCACAGCACGGCGCTTTTGGCTCAAAATGAGAGTGAAAGTAGAGACCGCAAACGCCACCTTCTCAAAACAGAGTACCCGCCACAATGCATAACCTCGCGTCGGGCAACCTGTTGAAAAATCATCGGGGGTCAGCGACACCGCAAATCGAGCCCACTACCTCGTACATTTTAGGTGGATGCTGTAACTGCTCGTCCACTGCTGCAGTGCTCAAGATGAGAGCTTGCCACTACAGCATTTACGCCATTTTTATTATACCGCCCTTTCCTTGAAAGCTGTTAAATGCAAAACTTCCGGTGAAATTTGGCCGAAAAAAATAAAATAGAATCGGAATGCGTTCGCCTAAGGTGAGTAGACAGTATAAACCACCAAGCGTGGCTATACCGTACACTTAATATGGGCGTATGCCAACGCTAATCAACTATTCCGAATTCACTGTCACAAGTGTTCATTATCGTGATTTTTTTATTATTGTCATTTAAGCAAACCTCGGTAATCAACCAGAGGCTCTCATAATTAGCTTTGATTCTCCTATATAATCACAGTCGCACTGGATATCGCTTCCTGTGTGGCTGTCGCTCCCATAGAACGCGTACTTCGCTTCTTGTGCTCTCCAAGCACTCAACGCCGTTTTGCGGAAGCTTTCCGTGACGTCTGCTGCGTCAGAGAATTGTCTTTATCATCTTCTCAATCATTTCGATTTCAGGCTTTCGTAAAGACGAAATGAGAGTCGCGCTAAAGGAGTCTCTCTCCCTTTCTTCTCTATGTCTCTCTAATTCCTCTAGTTTTTATTTCCAATAGCGTGCAAAGAATGTGCTCCCATT